CTAACCATCCATCATCATATTTCTCAAATTTTCCAGTTACATTCAGTGCAATTCGTTGTGAACCACAGGGACGTTCGTAAGGTTTACCACCACGTACAAATGTTTTGCCCTTATCATTTATGCGACTAAAATCAAAATTAAATTCTGGAGCAAGTGCATTTAAATCCACAGCCAGCGGCCCATTCAGACTGATTTTGACTTTCAATGGACCATCCCAATTTTGAAGATGTTCACCGATATAATCCAGGTCATTTTCGAGTGTTTTATCATCTTTCATTATCGTTTGACATTTTCGATCAATTCCTTCTGCTTTTTAAATTAAGATTTTCAAATCACCAACTAGTAAATCTGGACTTATATTATTAATTTCAATTGTTTTGTCTGTAGCTAGTATTACTCGAAATTGACGATTCTTAATATCATTAAGAGAAGATGAAGTTACGCTATACATTTGTAATTTTTCGCTAGATAATGTTGGTATTTCTAATTCAAGTTGTATTCGACGATGAAGAAATATTATTGTTCCATTATATACGTTAAAATCTGACAACCGTTGTTGATCATTATCAATTACTTTGCCATTATCACAGAGAAGATGTTGTGTTTCTGGTTTTATTTGTGTTTCATTAAATATTCTCTTTTGAAGAGTTTTAACTGTATACGATGATTTCATTTCAAACGGAATTTTTTCACCAGATATTGTTTGTATAACTACTTCCATGTTGGATTTAACGGATAAGTTTAGCGTAATTCCATTTTTAATTTGATCATTGCTTATAATACAGTCATTATTTAGTTCAGTGTTGCCCAATAATACACGTTGATCCTCTGTTGGAATTCCTTCTATCTTTTGTATTTCTGCTTTGATTTTGTCAATTGAAACAGGCGAGCCACAACAGACTGCAAATTTTCGTCCGCTGATCGTTTTGACATATAGTGCCATTGAACCGCCGCCACATAATCCAACAACTAAATGTAGAGTTGATGCTTCTTTTATGTTATAATCAGACAGTGTTCGTCCATCTTCAAGCTGTTGTTTGCCAAATATCAGTCGTTGTGAATTTGGAGGAATGCCTTCACTTTTTTCAATTTCAACTCTAACATTCTCAATTGGTGAGTGCGAATTTACTTCTA